TCCTGCTGGGGACAGTTCTACAATTCTGAACATGTGTTTTTTTATATCCATTCTGTTACACTCGTTTGGTTTTTGAGGATTTTGCTTGATTTTGTGCTTATTTTAAAGTCTGAGGCAGTGGGACATCATTAAAGAAGTTTTAAGTCCTGATAAAAGCATTTGTAATACATCAAAAACTTAAGGTAGCTATAGTATAATAGTAAAGTAACTGATTAATCCTTTCTAGGAGAGGAAGAGGAGGTACAGAGGTGACATGAAATGAGGAATGTTCAGCAAGAAAAAGACATGTTTTAATTTCTGACTATGTTTAATTTCTTTCATGCCCTTTCAGGCTGGCTAATCTTTATTTCCTCTTTCTGGTGGTTCTAAACTGGTTCCCACAAGTGGAAGTCTTCCACAGAGAAATTACTATGCTGCCTTTGATTGTGGTGCTGCTTGCCATCACAGTGAAGGATGCTATTGAAGACTACAGAAAATACCAATTTGATAAGACTATAAACTCCTCTAAAACAAAGGTATATGACAAGTAAGTAGACTAAACTGATTATTTTTTTCTTGCATTTGATATGGTGGAAACTGCTCATCTGATTTCGCAATGATTCCCTCACTGTCCCTTTGGATCGCAGTAAGTTTGGAAAAGCTCTTATAAAGTGTTTTTTTTTCTGCCTATAAAGCGTTTCATTTATGTCACTTACAGTCATCCTGATATCACTCAGGTTTTGTCTCAGGCTACAGCAGTGTGTACTGATGTTCAAGTTCTCATTCCAAGTTTCTAAACCAGTTTGCCAGCACGCACAACCTGGAGGAAAAGTGGCGCAGAGCACCTGAAACGTAGCCAAGTCTGGAATGGACCACTGGGACTCTTTAAAATCGTGAAGCAATGTTTTTCAAAAGTTTTCCACTAAAACTATCAATACAAAAATTAATAATGAACTATATTTAAGGCAAAGCATAATCAGGAACTGAAAAAATTCAGTAGGACTTCCAGTAAGTTCAAGTGATCAATACATCACAGTTTCATTTTGGAGACAGTACAACACCCATGTGCTGTAAGCTGCAATGTTTGCTCAGTAGTGACTCAGAAGGAAGAAATATTTCTACGTGTAATCCTTATTGCAACATTTAGATTTCGTCAGAGTTTGTTGTTGAAGTGCTAACTTGACTTAACACTACTTAGCTTGTCACTGTGTAACATAATAGGAATCTTGCTTTGGAAGGAGTTAAAATATTTATATCTGTTCTTTTATCTCGCTCCTCTTTAAGCCCAGGTCTGTAGAGAAGAGATTACTGTTTCGTATGCATTCATGTAGTTCTCTTGGAAATTAACTGTCATATATGCCGTATATCTACATGCAGAGGCATGAGATCCAATGAGGAAAAAGAAACGAGGGGTAGGAACAAATTACTGGGTGGGAGAGAGACGCTTTGGGTGTCCAGAGGCTAGAGGACTACCGGAGGAGAAGGACCTGGCTGAGGGGCAATCTAGGTTAACTGCCCTTGAATTGCCTACTTGTGCTTATACTACACACTGCTACCGACTCATAGGTTTGCTTGGTTTGTGTGAGGATTTTTTTGGTTGGTTTGTTTGTTGTTTTGAATAGTCTGTGAAATGAGTGTGACAATAAATAGTAGATAGAGGAAAGAAGTGCTGTCTCTGAGGAGGTTTATAGCAGACTGCTGTTGACTTCGGAGGCGCAGTACTCTGCCCGTTACCTTTGAACTTCCTGTTAGCTCCCATGGAGAGCAAGTGATTCAGAAAAGCTTCGAGGGAACCGTGTAAACTGCGCACGTTCTCAGGTGTGTCCCGGTTCTGTGCTAAAGCAGAGACGCTTCACCTGAGCACATACGCAAGCCAGGGAAATGCTGGGGATGGGGCCTCCAGGCGTATCCTAACAGGAATAACAACCCTTTCAGGATGCTTTCGTGTTGTGACGTGCTCCCCGGCAGGCTGTAGGACCGGCTGAGGTGAGCCGGGATGCTACTGTCTTCAGGCAGGTGGAGGCTGTGATCGAGTGAGACGGCTGTGAACTCCAGACAGCTTGACTCTTCTCCTCCCTGCTTTGAAATTTATCTGGATTAGTGAACTATTTTCCCTTCATTGTTATCAAATTTGAAGCAACGTTCTGGCAGGAGAACAAGATGTCACGGAAAAGCGTTCGAGGCTGCTTCTCTTTGAAGATATGGACAAAACTTTTTTTCAAAAACACATGCTGCCAGTGTGCTTCTTCTGACACTGAAATTCAAAATGAAGAGATGGAGAGGAGAGGAAAAGTAAAGAAAAGAAAGAGGAAAAATGAAAATAAACGAGTGATCATCTCCAATTTGCCCTTTGGAAGAAAGAAGTGGAAGGAAAATCCAAACAGACACTATGACTGTAATGAAATTAAGACTACAAAATACACCCTCTTGACTTTCCTCCCTAAAAATATCTCTGAACAGCTTCACCGCTTCGCCAATATTTATTTTGTGGCCATCGCTCTCCTGAATTTTGTGCCAGTGGTTAATGCTTTCCAACCAGAAGTTTCCGTGATCCCAATTTGTGTTATAATGGCTATTACAGCCATTAAAGATGCTTGGGAGGACTTTCGGCGGTACAAATTGGACAAAGAAATCAATAATATGGGCTGTTACATTTACAGCAGGTGAGTTTTGTACAGCTTTCATTAAGAAAAAAGTTGACTTGGGATCTTTCATCAGTATTGACATGTTTTGTTTAAAAACATTTAATATATTGTCTTGCTGGAAAATCAGAATGATTTGATAAAACTGTGAAAAATCATGATGGCTAGGTAAGCCTGGTATTTGTTCTGATACAGGGAAAGATATTTCTGTTTTGCTTAAACCTCATGTTCAAAATGGGAGGGAAAGTTCAAGTTACATAGTATTGGAGTGGCTATCTTTCTTAGATGTGGAGGATAGTGGAAGCCAGGTGCTTACATAACTACTAAGCACCTGGGTTTTTAAGGAAATTTCAAGAGGGCTTAATTCTATCAATATAAGGTAGCACAGAACAAGATCAGGAATGGGAGCTATTTGTATCAATTATAGCCCTTTGCACTTTTCTGAATTTTATACTTTAAACTGTAAGCGAGGCTTCAATTGTATGCAAAATAAAACTGTGTAAAAATACAGTTTAAAACCATAAGATAGTAATATATGCCTCTGATCTTCTCTGAATGAATCAACTAGGAGTGTCTGTGCTGAAGTCTTCAAAATATTTCATATCTTCTTGCTTTTAGGACTTTAAGGAGTTTCAAAATTATATTTTATTAGTTTGACAACTACCCTCTCAGTAGGAAGTGGCTTTTTCCTTTTAAAATATCACATCTGAGAGCTAGAAGAGCAAAACTTACCATTCCCTGAAAGTTGTTTGTCATTCCTCGTATTAATCAATAGTGCTTTATATAGTGTGAGTTCTCAGACATAAAATCTTGCAAAACTCTGGCTTTTGTCATATAGTGCTGTTTGTTTCTTTTGTGCATGTTCATTGGGTTTTATTTTTATATCTTGCTGGTTAAACAGGGAAATTGAATTTACTTGTTTGGGGGCTACTTAAAAAGTAGTCATTTATAAGTTTCTAAATATTATTCATCTAAGAGTACTTTTATGTCAATAAATCTAGCTCTTTGGGTCAATTACAAAAATACTTCTTTTGCCTATGTTTGAGGCTAGAGTCTAGCTGGATTTTTTTAATCTTCTCAGTGTTACATTAATCTATGAGGCAATGAGACCTACTTATTTTTAAGGCCAATCTCAAAGGGAATAGTAGGTGATGCAGTAGATACTAGTGAATGGAACTACATGGGGAATCCCCTTTATTTCCCCTTTAGATAGAATTACCATGGTAATTTATATATAAAAGACATTTACTATGAGAAGGTGAGAAGTGGTGAAATACAATAAAACTTATTTTTGTATATGGGAAAAATATTCCTCATGGAATTGCAATGTACGTGTAGATCCACATTAGAGTCATAGCTGTGAATGCTTTCTTATGCTGAAACTTGACATGGGACCATATTAAAACTGGTCATTCCATCCCATAAATAGGGCTTTGATAATCTATGAATAAATCTTGTCTAGAATGTTGTCTTTCACCAAAGTTTTATGGCCTAAAAAGGCGATGTAAGGGAAAGGGAAATGGAGAGGGCTTCAGACTACAGTGTTCATCCTGTCTGGAAAAATGGTGGGTAATTACAACTGCCATCAAATCTGTAGTTACGGCTTATTATATCATGAATAATTTTAATCAGGCTTCTATAGAGCTTTTGGAAGCTGATATTTCTTGTTCTTCTTGCTACCTACAAAGTCATGGAAGAGTGTGGTATCTTCTAATTTTCTTCCTTATGAATCATCTGCTGTAGGTAATTTTGTAACATAGGTGAAAGGCTTTTTCTAGACACTGTGAGTCTTACTAATTTTGTGGCGGCAGAGAATTCTTTTTCATGGAGCAACTGATCTTCCACCCTAAGACTGACAATTAATTAGATTTAAAGGGTTAATTTTGAAGAGTATATTTTCTTTATTTCAGATTTCAATAACAGAATCTCTGATTCTGTGTTCTAAGAGAAACACAAAGGCAGAGTTCTCTTTTCCAAAACTTTCTTGAAGACTGGAGGAAGTGCAGTAGCTTGCCCTTCTTGCTCAGAGTAAGGAACACTGAGTTTAAATTGGCTGTCCTATAAACACATTTCTTCTAATTTTGTTTTCACATAGATCAGCTGGATTTATAATCTAGACTGGTAGCTAAATAGTTAATTGAAAAAAGGGGAGACGATTAATAAAGTGTCTTGAGGGGATATAATGACTTAGACCTGGGGTTTGATTGTGGACGTTTTAGTTTCTAAATTAAAGGGTTTTAGAATCATAGTAATTGTTTATAAACTGTTATGCTTTCACAACAAGTCACACAACAGAAAAAAAAAGACTGAAAATCCAAATATAGATGGGACAGACCTATGTTCAATTGCCTCTTTTCTCCCGATATTCTTTAAAATATACGTTATCTGCTTCTAAATTTTTCAAGCAGTAGGGCTTCCACTGTCTACCAAATGTGATTGTCAAAGCATCTCCTATGATAGTCTGCTTTCATTAGCGCTCCTTAACTGCGTACAAATTCCTCAAGTTAGTTGATTTCATACAAGCCTAATTTATTAGTTTTCATCCATAATATTTATTTATAGTCTTTGAATAGTTGTGGTTGTTATCACATTCATTTTGATACACCTAGCCACCATTGACCTTTTAGTCAAGTTCTGTTATCACCCTCTTCATCTCTCTTACAAGTCCATCCCCCCAAACCTACTTTGGTTACTTTTCTCTGAACTCTCTCCAGTCTGTCCTTAACTTACTAACAACAGCTGCCAGCACTGAATGTAGTATACAAGCCAACTGTGGAACTGTAAGTGAATGCCAGCCCAACACTGACTAAAAGCTATTATTTAATTAACCTGAAGTTCTATGGTGATTGAGAAAATACTCAGTGTACAATTAACCTATCGCTTGGATCTGGCAACCTCCCTCAAAAATATTCCAGGATTAAGCTTTAATGATCTACAAACACTCCATAGCATCCAGGCAGGGTTTTACATTGATTTATTAGTTACATTGATTTCACACCTCTGGAAATTTAACTTAAGTATTTGAGTATTTAATTTAAGTATTTGAGCTGTTCACGCTGCTTAATTTTAAGCACCTAAACTCAGATATCAGAGAAAGTCATTCAGAAGAGAAGTCTATTTTATGTGCTTTGAACCATCCTATGGAGTTGCATGTTAACTAGTAAGTCTACAGGCCTCCTACGTGAGGTGGACTGACTACGCTCTCAGTGAAATTTCTCTGTGATGCTTTTAGATTCTGGGGTTTTCAAGTAGGTCCTACAAGCATTGATATACTCTTCCTCCAAATGATCCACTGACAACATCAATGTCACAAAAAGTCAGGATGGCCTTTATTGTAACCCTTTTCTCTGCTTAGTATAAGGTTTGAGTTCATCTCCTGCTAAAAAAACAAAAAATGACAAAAAAAACAACAAAAAAAGAGAGGACAGATAGTCTCAAGCCTCTGGCCAGCTTGAAGTCCCATCGCATGCCCTTTGGCAAAATTGCAATTGATGTTGCTATGTCCAAGAAAATCTTCTACATCTAAATAGTGCCTTCTCTGAGTGGTGTATGAGCTTGTATGACTGAGTATCCTGGTTTCATACCCCAGCTCCGTGTAATATCTTGCATGGATGCATATGCATATTCTTATGATAACCACAAAGCATGAACTTTGATCAGCTGGAGCATGAATTACTTCATATAAAAGTAGTGATGTAAGTAAGCTTTACAATGACTGCAGGATAATAATCTGTACGCTTTAGGTACACTGGAGTTTTTGTACCTAACATAACAACAGATACCTCAGTAAACAATAGGTATTACTGAAGGCAGAAACAGTGCCTTCTATTTGTGCTAACTGGAGGCGTTCTTCAAACTTCTAGCGAGTTCAGAAATGGCCTCAACCAAGAGTACACTAAGGTTTGGTGTATGTTGCCATGCAACTGCTTGAAACTAGTAATGTCAAAGTTGTGAAGAAATAATTAAAACATGAATTCATCTAATGGTGAGCATGCTGACTGTGTGCTGAAGAAATATTCAACATGCTAAACTGATAAATGCAAAAGACAAATGTCAGGTTCTCAACACTCAGGTCTGGGGTGCAGCACCGGAAAGTCAAAGAGCAGCAAGTTAGCAGTTCTCCTTGTCAGTCAATGTTCCTCACTACAGTGAAGATCCTTGCCCTCTTTAGAAGAAAACCTGCAATGATGTTATTAATGCTACCACCTGTTTGTGTATTGTTTTATCAACACCTTCCTGAAGATCTATTACCTGACAAGGCATTTAAAGCTGCTTCACAGAAGCAGTGTGCAGTGGCTTAGCAAACAGCAGCAGAAGCTAATTGCAAAAGATAAATAAATGAGAAACTAAGTTTCCAACTTAGAGACCTGCAGAATAGTGACAATGTGACACTGAGTGTCATACTAACTGTCTGAAATGGCACATTTAAAATCTAGAGAGAAGCAGGCTCCTACATGTGACCTCAAGATGGTATGTGGTCGTGTAAGGAGGTGACTAGCAAAAAGCTGCTTTAGTCTCTGTGCCTCCCATGGACTTGATGAGTTAGTAGGAGCCTTTGGAAACTAATACTAAGGATTAGCAGTCAGTAAATAACTGAGCTTGGAGTTATCTGTTCATTCCATCTACTGCAAGGCAGAATCCTAGCAACAGCATTTTGCTCTGGGCAGTATTCAAAAGAAAATTCAGATTTTCCCTCAATAATTTGACCCATAACTTACAAAATGAACCTACTAAAGTCTAACCAAATGTATTCTCAAAACGCTCTTGACTTCTACTTGATTTTATTTCTTCATTTGGTCCAGCTCATTATAAAATTGAGGCAGATGGATTTTTTTAACTTGCATTTTTATCTCTAAAACACATGGACGTAACATATTTCTAAAGTTTTGGTACTTGTTTTAAGTCCATACAAACTTGGAATGGTTGAATATAGAATCCTTTTATCACTGAGAAAATAACTTTCATGGTGGGATGCTACAGGCATTTTTAGCTCATAAAAAATTAGGATCCTTTGTTAGCATTAAGGAACTTGCAATGCCAAAACAGTATGATTGAAGATGTATTTTGTTAGACTTTAGAAAAATTTCACTCTCATTGCTATTCTATTGTGTTATTCAAATCCTGAGAGGAAGTTTGCAACTATGGGAAATGGATACAATTGCTTGCTAGTGAGGGCTTGTTGCGGGACTGACCTCTGCTAAATAATGTCATTCTTTGATCCTGCTGGGCTCATGTCCACACCAAAAAACAACCTTCCCAGCTACAGAAAGTGATAGTAACATGGTAAACACCAGTAATGAATTAGCATGAACAACACAATATCTTCTGCCCTTCAGATATAGCTCCTGCTCAGGAATATTATGGGCCAACTTGTGTTGTGCTCTATCTATGGACACGTTTCAGAGTCTGTTCCATTCCTCGCCTTCTTCAAGTGATAAAACCACTTATTTTTTTCCAGTTTTTCTGTTTTGGCAGTATCTCCTTACCTTGGGGGTCATGTCCATAAAGTGGTCTTTGGAAGCATTTTCTAAAGTTTTTCTTATAAAAGCTGGTGTAATCATTGACAGTATGAAAACATTTGGGATTTCTGTTGCAAAAATAGACTGTAAATAGTTGTGTGATTCTACTTGTTGACTGAGTAGCACTGAGAATCTCAGAGCAATAATATTCTTGATAGGGTAAGCGATACCTGAGGGGGCCATTTTTAAATGTAGCATTCTATAAAATTTACATCTGATTTTAAAAAAAAAATTGTCATACATATAGATAAACCCAAATATTTGTTAAGTGGCTGATGTTATAACAATCCAGTGGCAAGTTAGAGGGCTAAAGGAAGCAGACAGCAGCTTTACTTAAAATTGCAAAGGATCCTGAAATGGAGATTTTAGTTATTCAAGGAAATAAGAGTCACTAAACTAATTTTTTGGTTTGATAGTTTTGACTGGTAAAAGTTTCTGAAGATCTTCCTCTAAGACAGTCTAGCAGTCATAGGCATGCATACAAAAGATGACTTTTTTTAATTGCATCTCCTTGGGGAAGCAGAATTACAGATTTTTCCTCCCGATCCTGGCCCTCTTGACCCGTTTTTATTTCAAATTCATTTTTATTGAATTCAAGAACATGCAATTACATTGTTTACACAAAGTAAATAATTTATTAATGTTCCTCTCCAGTCTCCAACCACAGCTAGCATTTTTTTATGATCCTTTCTTCCCAGAAATGCCTCCAGAAAGTCTCTTTGGTGCAGACCATCTGATCTGATATGATGAGTCCAGTACTCATCTCTAGCAGACTTTGTGAGTGCTCAAGGCCAACTGCCTCTATTTATCTACGTTATATTCTGATGGGCAGTATCTTGCTACCCGTTATCCCAAGACAGCAAGGGAGCATAGGATAGAAGAGACATATCTGTGGCTCTGCTTGGGGCTAATTGCTGTTAATAAATTGGCTGGTAAAGCAGAGAGGACACTGAGAAACTTCTGCCTTGGATCACATCCTTGCTGTGCCACAGCCTTGACGTTGCCTGCTGTAAGAAACAGATTTCCAGCTCTCTGCCTATTGAAAATCACCACATCTTATTTATTTTATGGCACGAAAGTGTTTGCCTTTTTTATACGTTTCTCGTCAGACCATCTTAGATTTATGAAGCGCTTCTGTTTATTTAGCAACAGGAGCTTGTGCTATGAACTTTAATCAGTGAACAGAAAATGGGCAGAGTTCCCAGTTGGGGCAACTGCTAAAAGGAAACTGCTTCATTTGAACAATCTTGAAAGGCTGCTGGGCCAATGGTGTGGTGGGGTGCCACAGGTTGCTTGTGAAGTGTTTTTCTTTCTTTTATCCGTCGGTTAAGCACTAAAAAATTTGTAGAAGGCCTTTGTACTGTAGAGGACTATTAATCTCACAGTTCTTCCAGGAAATAGATTGCTCCTCTGCAAAGAAATTGTGTTTCTTTACCAGCTTCGGCGTGCTGCAGCAGAGAGGGGTACTCTGTTAACCTGCATGTCGGTCTGGGGCTAGGGAATAGTGAATGCTCATCCCAGCACTCAGGAAGACTTTTCCTGTGATCTGAAAGAGGTCACTTGGCTTTTCTGACCCATCTTCTCCTCTGTAATTAGTAAATGGGCAGTACTTAAAGCTGTGTGTGTAACATATGTTTCACAGGGGGAATGCAGAGAATTTGAATAACCTTTAGAACCATAACCTTTGCAGGAAGCTTCTATTTCACGTTGGTTTATAGATAAGGACGTTGGCCGTCTGCAGAAGATTGCCCCACAGCATCAGGGCTGGCTCTCCTTTACGGTAGATGGGGAAAGGAGGTTAGCAGGAAGCAGCCTTTGGCCTGGCTGTGAAGCAATGCTTGGATGTGTGCCTTTGGATCAAAGCAAAACACTCTATCTACTGCATTTCTGCACCACTTCTCATGATACAAACACCTAATTAACTGAAAAACAGTATTCTTCAGGCAGTAAATGAGGATGATTAAAAATTTAAGCAAAAATGAGACTTTGAGTCATCACAAGAAGTCTTTTACTGCGAGTCTGTTAAAGTATTATGAGCATTTTCCCTGTTGCAGATCAAGGCATAAGATAATCCAATTATTTGTGTTAAAAGAATTATTTCCTCTCAAAAGTTTAGAAAAATCAGCCCACTGTTGCCTGTGCAGTTTTCCCTTTGACTAATTTTAAAATTTATTGTGCAGTTCTTCTGTTTGCTTAGCTGATTAAGAGTTGTTAATGGATCAGTTATTGAAAAGATAATGTCAAAAAAGTTTGTCATTACCTGAACTGAGCGACAGTTTATTGACGAAATAGGGGCTTCTTTTCCTTAAGCTCCTTAAACCTCTTTTATTTTGTATTTCTTTCTTTTTTTTATATTTAGAAGCTATGTGGTTTTCATCTCAAGTTTTCCATTAAAAAATCTAGTTGCGTTATGGTTGTTCAATTTTATACGATAACTTCTTTGCTGTTCTTTCTATTGAAGTTGTTTTTATGGGCTAAGCTTGAGGCTTGTAATTAACTTTCAAGGGTTACTAGGGGAGAGCTGAAACAAGTCTGGCCGAGATACCAGTTTGCTGCGGTCAGGATCTGTGTGTTGATGTTGGCAAGTATCCGAGACACAGCTACCCAGTTTAAAGCAACAAAGTACTTCTGGTGAAATGTCTGAATTTTTGGACGAAGATACTTTAAAATGCTTGCTTCTGTGCTTCTGAGT